AAGAACCAGCGCGACTTGGTGACTTCAGTGTCGTTGGCACGGGGCAAATTGAGCATGGAAGTCGTTTTGTTCCAACGAACCAAGTTGCAGTGTCTAGCGGACACATAAGCTTCTTTGGGGCAATAATCGATTGGAACTGTAAATGTTCTCAATCTTAATGGAAGAGAGTGTAACGGGGTTACAAATATCCTGGTAACAGGGGTGTGTATCATACCAGATGGGCATGGTGTAACTGCACCCAAATAAGTATACGGTACGTGGGGGTAGCCAGGAATGGCGTAACTGCACCCAGATAAGAATACGGTACGTGGCGGGGTAGCCAGTAGTTAGACATGTATCTAGATCTTACTATATATATTAAGGAAAATCTATACATTTAAAATTAGGTGGCTTGGCCGCAGATAAAACAAATAAATACAGCTTACATTTTAAACAGAAGAGTTTATTAGCCTTGGGTTAAGGTTCTAACTACTCTTGGAGGTAGCGGATTGAAATCCGCTACACTCGCACCGGTTCTTGTGAAGAACGTAAGGTTGGTGACCTAAAGTAAGCTGCCTCTAAGCGCAAAGCTACGGCAGCCTTGCTGCACCAGCTCAAACCTTGCGTACACCGTGTCCTTTTACCGACCTTTTGACTTTGGGGGGGGATCACTACAAACGACCTCGACGAGGCTCAGAGACAGCAGTTGGATGCTGCCCGCAGGGCGGCTACGCGCACGCATCCACGGTTTGTCCTAGACCCTCGTGTGTAATATGGTTTCCGCTTGGCGGATCCCGCATCTGAAGCGAAGGATTCGATCACTCTATCATTAAACGTCTACGCGGTCGGGCCTGGCAGCATGGCGCACCAGTGCCTCAGCGTCTCGGCTCAGGCGCTGCGACGGACGTCTTCAACGACGCGATTTATGCACTCAGTTTGACCATCGGTCTGCTGATGAACCGCTGTTGACATATCCAACTTGACGCCCAGCACCTTGAAATTCATCGACAAGAACATTCCAGTGAAGCGTGGGTCTCTGTCAGACTTAGTTGACTCCGGGAGTCCATGTTGTCAAAAAACACGATCCACAAACAGCGTCGCTGTATCCACACCGTCGATGGTGTCCGGCACCGCCTCAAGATGGATGATCTTGCTCAAACGGTCGACGAAGACCACGACACCCGTGTACCCCCCGAGTCCTTCGACAGGCCAGACTCAAAGCCCATACTCATGAACTACCGACACCCGGTGTGTAACGGCAAACTGGCCAGTGGCGCCGCCACGTTCGGAGAGGGTTCCAACCTTGACACGTGTCACACGTGCGAACATAGGTGCTCGTCCATTTGTACAGCTTGACAACGCACCAGCCAAATCATTCTGCTTTCCTGGCTTGTATTTCACCTCGAAATGATATTCTGCAAAGAATGAGCGCCACCTTGCCATCCTCGGCGAGAGGTGAGGCGACTGAGTTGCAGTGCGTAATGACGCATGATCTGTTTAGATCACAAACGGTTTTAAGCCAAGCAGGTACACCCTGAACTTGACAAGCGCATACTTCATCGCAAGTAATTCCTTGTCGTGGACTGGGTAGCTCCTCTACGCAGACTTAGACCCTATCTCATCCTTCGGCATCTGCTTGCAGCAGTACACAGCCGATGGCAAGTCCGAAGCATCAGAGACGACACTAAAAAGACGATCGGGGTCTGTTAACGTCAGTATTGGTGCATGCAGAAGGCTGTCTTTGACCCTGTCAAAAGCCTCCCAATGTTCGGTGTCCCAACACCATTCCGCATCCTTTTCAAGGACATTCGACAATGGCCGTGCTATTTCCGCATAATTCGCGCTATACTTGTGCAGGTAGTTGGCGAGGCCAAGTCACTTGCGCAAGTCCTTTTGGTTCTTTAAATTGGCCAGTCCACAATGACCTTGACCTTAGCGGGATCCGCAGGAAGGACACGCCTCTCTTCCGCTCAAAATGCAAACTGAACTTTTGTTTTTTGCGGCAAAACCGCCAATATCTAAAGTTATACGTTTTTCTAATTAATTAGTAAAACCTCATTAAAATACATAGTCCAGCCTTCTTGTTAAGGTGTTGCCAAAACCATCCATAGATTACACGTCTTGTGTAACCCACACCTTATATGGTCGCATCACCCATTACCTAATATGGAACTCCCCCACACATCTCGAACTCGTCCATAGACGAGAGCGTAATCAGAACCTCAAGGAGTGTCGACAAAGTTCATGAAATTAAAAAAAAATCAAGAATGTTGCCGCATGAAAATTTCTCCCGCTGGCCTTACAGATGAACACGACAACGCATTTTTCATGTGAAAAGGCTCGGGGTTCACTACACTTGCCAGTTTCTACATCGGCAAAATTGCCTATTGAACATACTCCGCTTCTGCTTCTTCTGGTGTTGTGTCATATTTCAAATAGTAAAGTTTTGTCTTGTTTCAAGTTCAAGACTTGACCAACATAGGAACATGAAATCGGTATTTTGCTCTTATCAGCGTGAAATGGTGAGTGCCCGTCTTGACGTTGACGTCGCGCTTCAGAATTTGCAAAGTCAAGCAACACGCGACGTTTCATATCTTGTTGTAAACTGGTTTGTAAAGGCACAAAATAGAAAAAATGACGAGCCTACCCTGTCTAATAAACAAGTTGGGCCGTATAGCAGTCGGCAACATCATTAGGCAGTAGGATTACCGGTGCAGTACTCACCGACATCGCTGCCGCTGATTCAGCCGTAATTGGTGCTCGAGAGGGGTTTGTGAGGTTAACATACACTCACGAAGGATGTCGAGTATCAGTACTGGACTGTCAAGCTGAGCTTCGGGGCTATATACATAGATGTCTGAGGGCTGCGCCGTTGAGCATCAAGCGGCTTCCAATCGATCAAAGGCATAGTCTGACGACGTTATCGGTCAGCGATCGTTGCGACTTCGGCGCGTCTTAACAAGCAAGCTGGTCGCCTTGAGTAAGGTTTAGTACAGCCGTAATGACACTAATTTCATTATCAGGATTGTAGTGTTTGTAGAGGGAGGACATGGTATGCTCATGCGAAGTTGAGCACTCACGTTTTGGACGTTCGAGCTTCAAAAAAAAAATGATACAGGAAAACGTAGAGCAGCAGCACTTGTATTAATTAAGACGAAACACAGAATAAATCAATCAAAAGCTAATATGGAGAAGTATCAAGCGACTTTCTGAGGACGAATCAAGCATACCGTATTACCTACGTTGAATTGCTCAAAGATGTGACTTTCTGCAAAAACAAATCGGAGTATACTGCTACACCAAGCCTGAAAAGACCATGACTATTGCTTGCCGTCTTTTTTCTTGGCAGCCTTCTGCATCTTGGCGGCTTGTACATTCACCTTGACATCGCGGGTGAAGGGCAGATACGTGACACCTCCCATGAAAGGAACTAGCACCTCTGGAACTTTGACACCATTCTCATCTTGATAGTTTTCAAGGATGCAGCATACTGTACGTGTGGAAGCACAGAGCGTCGAATTAAGCATGTGCACATATTTCTTCTCACGCTGATTTTCCTTCTTCACACCGCAGCGAATCTCCATGGCACGCGACTGATAGTCCGTGCAGTTAGAGGCAGATACAAGCTCCCGAAACTCCTTGTAAGCTGGAAACCACGCTTCTAAGTCATACTTTTTGATAGCAGCATTGTTGAGCTCCCCTGACACGATATTTACGACACGATACGGCAAGTTCAACGACTGATAAAACTTTTCGGCATGACTCATCATTTCCTCGTGCATGGCAGCTGAACTCTCGGGGTCCGTGATGCAAAACTGCTCTATTTTGTCAAATTGGTGTACGCGGAAGATACCCCACGTGTCCTTGCCGTGCGAACCAGCTTCTTTACGAAAGCAGGTGGAGAATCCACCGTAACGCAAAGGTAACACGCTTTCCGTTATCCATTCACCCTTGTGATAGCCACAAATAGGCTGCTCGGATGTGGCAATGAGATACTTTTCGTCCTCACCAATGACTTTGTACAGCTGCTCGTCGAAGTCGTCGAGCTGTGCCACAGCAGCCATGCATTCTTTGTTCATGAAAAAAGGCGGCTTGAGCATTTTATAGTGGGCCTTGATGAGAAAGGAAGAGGCGTAAGACATCAGAGCCTGTTCAAGCAGATACCCATAGCCTGTAAGAAAGTAGGCGCGGTGGCCAGCTACCTGTACACCGCGCTCGGGTTCGTAGCCATCGATGCGGTGCAGCACCTCATGGTGAAAGTGGAGCCCTTCTTTTATGTGAGGAGTACCCCAAGTCCGAACGATCACGTTGTCGTCCTCGTTGTTTGAGATAGGCACCGTGGGATCTACAATGTTGCCAATTTTTGGCAACTCGCGGTCCACGAGTTCCTTTAGCGCTTCAGCTTCCTTCTTCTTTTCAGGCAATGTTGCAGCCAGCTCCTTTCTTTCATCACTAATGGCTTTAAAACCTTGTTTGGCCTTGCTAAGCTTTTTAATCTCCTGTTGCAGTGCATTCATCTTCATGTTTATTGTCTCTACCTCGCCCTGTTTCTTACGCCACTGCTCATCTAATTCGATAACCTTGTTCACAATATCTACATTGAGGTAGCGCTTCTGTTGGTCAGCACGGACAACGTCCGGGTCGCCACCACGTTCGGGACGGAGGCGGTTAATATCAATCGGCATTTTGGCTAGTTGCAGGTCCACACATCGGAAGCTGATACTACTGCCACCAGACAGATGTATTCGGATTTGGTGACGTATTCAAACAAACAGATTCATAGTTTTTAAGTAGAGCTATGTATACCACCTACAAGTCAATAATGACATGGAGCTCACAATAGTGAGCCTCGTTGGTGGTGCCGCTCTTGCGTCGTTGCGAATCGATCAACGACGGTATTAGCGTTTGCAGCTCCTTTGGTAAGTGTGGCCAGGTACGAGACCAGAAGTGCGTCATTGTACTCTTGCGCAAAAGCTGCGTCGAATCGCTTCGACTTCATAGCTGGCAGCTGATTGCAGATACTCGAGATATGACGCAAAAGGTTATGGTCCAGCGGCGCTTCGCCATTTTTCATGGCATAAAGAAAGCGCAGTAAGCCGTCAACTTGTCGATCTAGCATTTTCACGGCGTCCCGGACATTGCCCAGATATGGATGTACTGCGGTAACAAGATAAAAAATAACGTCAGTATAAGACCAATATAATTGGAGAGGCCGCAGCTTTTAGACATATACATGATGACTTGCTGCCATCAGCAATCGGCGCAATCTTTGAAATGTGATCGATGGCAATGCCCTCCGTTTCCGATGTCTCGATTTTAAACGGGGCCTTGACAAAAATCATCTTCGGCACACCGTTAAGCATGTGCAGCTCCGATTCAAATAGTGAGATTGGTAGTTTTTTCTTCGTATTAGATCCTAGAATATTTGGATTAAGAATCATGAATAACGGACTCTCATTAAACTCCATAACCTACAATTAAGAGCAAGTCGTCAGCTTTTCATGCATCCTTATCACTCAATTGTCGTGTGCGTACCACTCGATGCACCGCCAAATCAATTGAAAGAGCCTTGTCACCTATCGTATACCAACCGAGCAGCTCAAAGCCTGGGAAGACCTGCGAAACTGCAGATATTTTGTCGAGCATCAGAAGGGGCTCTTCACTTCTTGTTGTTTCAATGCCACGTACACTGTTGGATCCGCGAGGTGAGAAACTCTTTATCAATTTGGATTTCTCCATTATCGACATCAACTTTCATCTCGAACGAGTCGTATACGTCGACGTCTAGGCCTCTCTGGATGCCAAACAGTGCGCCGATGACTTGCAGCGCCCCTGATTGGCTCAATTGTGAATAACACTTCTGCCGCGCATGGTGATCCGTAATGTTTACAATAACAAGAGGGTGGATCTGGATATGTCGTTCACCCCCGCCGGTAGCACCACTATCCTCGCGCTGCACGAGCATTCCCTCGTCTTCCTCGAAACTTGTCACCTCTATATCCTGCATTGAACCTTGACTCTGTTAGTCGAAATTTATGTCCCATACGTTATTCGGTGGCATTCTTTTTACTGTTTACGTCGTCTGGCAACAGATATTTGTGCAGAATAATACCGGTAGGAACCGAATCTAAGGTAACGTTTTGCACGCGCTGACTATTCTAAGCAGACAGACCCTCGAGGAGTTCAAGCGCACTGAACCACCTACTTACTTACCACATTGTAGTCCACCATCGCGACCTGCAGTCGTCGGCAGCATTATGGACGACCACGTGTCGGACGACCTGCTTTGGTCTCTAGACGTACGTCTGTCGATGCATAGGAGAGACGCAAGTATAATCGTAACTAATTATAGGTGGTCGTTTTCATCTTGTTATATGTAGCATCTGATCAAGCAGGATACAAGCGCTGATGTCGAGAACGATACTGAACTTGTACGCGCAAGCTTTTACACGCAAGACAATATGCTGGGATGCTCACGAATCGGCAGTGATTTGGTCTTCGGCCGTCGCAACACAGTCCGATTGTCTCGGGACAATGACGACACTTTGGTAGGCTATGGCCGACTCACGGGCTTAATGGGCTATGGCATTGAAGAAGACGAACTGGACGATGCAATTGACTGCATTGAAGAACGCATTCCTGCGACTTTAAGCAGTGTGCACCCTAGTAGCAGCAGACATTCGATAAGTCAACACAGTATTAGCGAGGAAACAGACAGATCCCTCTCGTTTGCATCCGACGGGGGATTAAGCGTGGGCGACATCTCAGCATCCTCACCTGCCCGAACCCGTTCGACTAGACGACTGAGTGACGGAGATCAAAGTACTTACGAGCAACGCATTGAAGCGTCTTTGGCTGGATATATCACCAAGTCACTGAACGTCGAGTCACGATATATGGCCGAATCGCAACCAGATCGAACCTTCACGATGGACGACCTTGCACTATTTGATTCACAATTTGGACGCGAGATTTATCTTGAGAGACTAGCACAGAGTTTACAGGAACAGGAGGGTGAAAAGAAATCTTTGGCCTCGTATCGAAAATCAACTATGCAGCGAATATCCACGCCCGTAGATATCACTCGACAAGGATGGATCATGAAGCGCGGTGACTTGGTTCCGAGCTATCGAAAACGGTGGTTTGTGCTGCGTCAAATGCCCCAGGGTCCGATGTTAACGTATGCAAAAGACGATCACGAGGGATCTCCAACGAAAGTGATTGATCTCAGTTCAACATCGCGGTGTATCGTTGCAACTGGGAAAAATGCGAAAGAGCATGAATTCAAGGTCATTACGTCGGCTGATTCATCGCGTCGTGAATTCTATATGGTAGCGGCCTCAAGTTATGATATGACGCAGTGGGTTTGTGCGATTCAAAATGCTATAAACTCAGGAAATCGCTCGACTTTTGATGGTGCCTCTGACTTTCAGCAGCTGTGGCACGATGCTGGCATCCAGGGGTTTCTGGTTCGGTACGGTGTGCGCAAGTGCAGCTCTCGAAATCGACTTCAGACTCGAGTTTTGGAGCTAAACTTTGCTGAGCAAACTCTTACGAACTCGCGACGAGGCGAAACCTTAAAAACTTTTCATTTCACTGACATTCGAAGCGTATCAGTGAGCAACGTACTCTCCAGGGGTGAAGAACATGGTATAATTATTGAATATCGTGGACGGCATCGATCGTGGCCGATTTTTTTGGATACAGTGGAAGCAAGAGATGATTTATATACGATCTTGCAGCGAATCGTTGACAATGTGGTATCTGGAGATGATCTTGAAAAGCGTTCATCGCGCTTGACACTGAAAACTGGTCATCTGGAAACAAAGAATGCAGGGCCTCATGCGACTTTAAGAGGCCGAATGCTGGTATGTCTTCACGAAAACTGTATCATGTTCTATCCGGCAGATGGAGATACCACAACCACGCGACCGTGGTACGTCACCACTCTTAAGGGTCTTCGTTTAGCGGTTCGAGAAGAAAAACGTCTACTTTATATTGGACGTATGGCTCTTGCATGCTCATCCGCTGCCGAGAGCCGTGACTGGTACAAAGCAATCTCGGCTGCCATGTGTCTGCCTTTGGAAATTATCGAAATTGAGCTGAAAGAGCGAGCAAAAATTCGCGCAGCTTTTCAGTCGTGCGTTTGTCGACTGCGGAAATTGCTGAAGGCTAAGGTTACCCCAGAGCCAAGCGGACCACCAAGAGATCAAAAGACTGTGGACCTGATGATTTCCAAACTATGGGAACTTGTATTTCCGGAAGAACCGTTCAAGTCGAATAATGATCCAAGGTGGCTGGAAATTGGATTCCAAAGAGGAGGCCCGGCGTCTGATCTTCGTTCAAGTGGTCTGCTTGGTCTATACTGTCTAATTTTTTTTGCTAGCTATCCATCAAGCGAGTTTCAGCGCATTTTAATGCGAACACGGCATGGTGTGAGTGAAGGCAACATGAAAAATTATCCGCTCGCGATCGCTTGTATCAATGTGGCTTCACTATTGACCGAAACGCTTGGCATAGGTGACGCAGGTACACACTCAAAAGGCTGCTCGCCGAGCGCAATGAAGACTTACAGTCTTTTTATAGCTCAGTGTGTTTCGACAACACGGTGTCCTGATTCAGTCAAGGCTTTCTCGTCATCCTGGTCTCTTAGTCATTACGAATGCTGGGACGATATCATGAGCGAGCCAGTAAATCACGTATTTGAAACAATTTTCTGTTTACTTTTTCCCGTGTTGGACTCGCTATTTGTCGAAATGGGAGCGGTGAGTTGATTCGAAGCAATTGTTTAGTGGTGTACCTTAGAATTTATATCGAATGTGGAATGTTTGCAGGGTTACATGGAATTTGGACAAGTTATGATAGCATTTCGGCAGCGCATAATTGAGATTTTTAATATGCAGCCTAAATCTTTGAAAGAGCTTCAGACGTTGGCGAACGAGCCGTGCACAGGCACGCTTATAGTGCCGACGGTATTGACTAAACAACACAAGATAGGTAAGATTAGCATGGGCAAGAAAATAGTCAAGGCGGGTGGGATGTAGCGCGACGAAAGTAGTCGAGTGTTGTCTTCCCACATAGAAATTTTGATTTCGATTGGCTTGCACAGCGATAGAATGTTATGCAATGTGCGACGGTGTCGTCGAGCCAATGAGTCTATACATATTTATGTCACATGAGTCCATGTTTCCATGAAAATATTTATATAGTACACTTAAAATATTGCTTCTTTTTGATCATTGTGCATGTCAGCCCATACCATAGCAAAGTCACCATGTGGCGATATCGATTTCGTGAAAGCATCAGTTTCGATAAATTGCATACGCTGCTCTTTTGCACGTTCAAGTCCCCAACGTATAAATGACAACAGTTGCACAGATTCGACAGTCATTTTTGCGCTCGGTCTCAACGTAATTAACATCCGAATAGCTTAAATGCAGATCATCTTGTTGCACATATTCAATAGTGCATAATTTCGAAGCCCATTTAACGTTTACTAGACAAGTTGTCCTCAACAAAATTTTGTTATTGACTCAATTGAATTTGCAAAACCCTTGACGCCTTTATTTCTAATTTTTAAGCGCTTAAAACCTGCGGGTCTTGCTAGTCGGCTAAATTCTGACTGACCAAGCTTGCTTATCTTCCATTGGTTCGCTTCGAAAGCCTGTGTTCTCTCTTCATTTGGTTACACTTCGGTTATCTCTGGCAAAGCTGTTACTACAGATATAACAGTTTCAGTTGAGAACATCGTAGCTCAACGTCTTTAGCGAAAATATGCTGGCAGATATCGAATGCTTCTTCACAAGTAACCTAAAGAATTTCCATGATGCGGCCTGACAGCATTCGTCGATACACTCGAGCAAAATTTGCAATGATCGCAAATTACAAGCCCTCCTTTAAACGTTCCGCGCCAAGCTAACCGGTCCCAATTGGTATTTTATAATTAAGAGCGAACGTCATGCGCTTAACTTTGCCAATGATTTTTCATCGACTTTTCACAACTGCGACAAATTCGTTGTATTCACGTCCAGTTTCTTTATCGACTCACAAAAAGCCAGAAATTACGTCATCACAATGATTTTACCAATTTGAGCTCGACATGTATTTTCACTAGCAGATGCAGGGCTGAATATTTCAGCGACTTTGCAAACATTTGCTGAGCTGGTGAACCTTGGCGATTACATTCATACTAAATATCAGCAAACTGCTTCCATATTTCTCAAGTTGTGGTAAGTAAACTGAGCATCAATCAAGGACACTTTACATCGCTGGGACAGGAACAAGTTTTTATAATGCTTTGTAGTCTCGTAATCTGATTTTGATGTTTTGACGCATCGTCACGCTAAGCTGCTGACAATAGGCAAGGCTTCCCAGCAATGAAAAAGTAATTGTTAAAATTGGACGAAAAGCTCGAATTTGATGCAAAGCGCGGTTCTTCTACAGTATCCTTCTTTCAACAAGCCCAGCGTGCGCCAGCCGGCAAATTTGTGCAATAGCTATTTTGATCGCGTCAGAGGCAAATTAAAATGGCTCAGCATCTCAGTGTCCAACCAGCCTCCAACATTTTCTTGTAATCATAGCGATCTGAAGTCATAGTAGCAATAATTAAAATGTATAGTCAAGCACCCAAAACTCCACGAGCGAATCCCTTGCGATCACCTACGCAAGGGAACAATCTTAAAAAGTGGGAGCATGCGTAGCAGCAAACCTGGCAAGGAAAAACTGCATATCTCACATCCCATCACAATGTTCGCATAGACAGCAATTTATGATTTAGTTTCACAAGTGCTGATCTACAACTTCGATCGACATAGAGTCATCATCGGTTCGCACTTGTATGATTCCTTGCAGCACCAACACATATCAAATCTGTCTTCAACATCCACCAAATAAAATGGGAGGTTCGGTAGAAATGCTGGAAGGCGCTCGTGCAGTTAGCAATTAGAAAACTCTAAGCAGCGGAGGTAAATTGATGCAGTTGGTCCTCAGCTCCAGTCGCGCAAGCAATTGCCAATTAGAGTCCACTGCCAATATGTCCAAGCTCCATGCAATGGCATCATACAGAATAGGAGGTGACTATAGTGTTTGCATTTAGTCCCCGTAGTAAGTTATTCAGGGTGCGCCGTCACAGAATTTCCTCGAAGATTCTGTACACAGTTTAGATTTAGTATTTGAAGCCCGTCGTTTAAACTACCATAAACCGGTGAAACTCCATGTGTGACTTTATTTGTGCGGAAATGCTAATTTTTACCTCAGCAGCAATCTGGCTCGAGCTGTGCTATGAGATTGAGCGGTGCAAATATAAAGATGCTGGTCCCTTTCGCAAGCACGAGCAGGTCGATTCCTGTTTAACCAAACGGACAACAAAGCTTGATGGTATACCACAAACGCATGTAGGAGCAAGCTCATGCGCAGCAAGCAGCGCTATTGCACGCACCACTTTTTGCTTTCAAATGAGTGGCATGAAGAGCTACGATATGTCAATGGCAGTCTTCAAGTACTGACTTGATCTCAAGCCTCGACAATATTTAATTACCAAGCCGCAAATTTGCTATGCAATGGCTTAAGTCGGATCTCTGGAATGTCAGGAGCCTTTACCCTTACTTTTACAGCAACTGCACCTGGTAGATTATCCCTAAGGCAATCATTCTGATTGCGCATGGTCGTTGTAGTACTGACCATCGCGCAGCGTCTCTCGAACATGCCTGATTCTTCAGCACATGATATTTTTATCAGAGCGGACTCTGATCTGATTCTGTACTGACCACTCATTGGAGATGCCGCTAGCAGAAAATAAGAAGCGTCCGCGCGCCGACCTGCTTTCATCGCTAGATGCCGTATTTTCTGCTAGTGCACATTCTGAAGCTTCTAAGTATACAGCTTTAGCAGCAGTGCAAACAACACTCAATGAAAATGATCTTCAGGCATACCAGCATATCAAGCGCAAGCGCAAGGGCAAGAAGCGCGAGAAAGGCAGTACCGGTTGCGAAGGTGCCAAAGCGATGAATAACCATGCTGAAAGTGAGAAGGACAAAAGCAACAAGGTTATAGCTGATCCACTGTACGAGACAATTGACGTGGGGCTGTTGGCTGTCGGACTGAAAAATTGCTCACTTGTAAGAACACAGGTGCATGGTAGTAACATAATCCGGCGCTTAATATTTCACATTTTTTGTAGCGACCGCAAGTGAAGACATTGACAAATTCGCGAGTATCTCACGAGACTCTTAAAAGGTATCTCGAATCAGTAACTGTGGGCACGAAGGCAGGCTCAGACGCTATCAATAATCTCAAAAACAAGGTTTTGTCCCTGGACAATCCTTTTAAGACGACTACAGCAGAAACTAAAGAAAAGGCACTTGTAGTTGCAAGTAAAAAGCAAACTGCCAAACTATTGAGTGCACGTCGACGTAGAATGCTTAATCTGCATATGCTGGGTCGAAAGATGAAGTACAGTCATGCTGAGCAGCTGAACCTTATTTGGACACGATATGTCAGTCAAGTGATTGCGTGCAACCTTGATCAAGTTGAGCAAATATCCGAGGAAGCGCAGCGTATACGGAACGCAAAACTGCAGACTAAGCTCAAGTACATGGATCTCTCTGGATGTCGAATTGAAGGTGAGTGTAGTACTTTATGTGAAGTGCCGAGATTTGACTTTTCAAGCTTGTGTGATGTAGTAATTCAGTCTTGTAACCCGTGCAACATTGGTCTCAGCGGAATTGTTGTCGCGGAGACTATGGAAACGGTGCAGATCTGCCGTCCAGTATCTCCGAGTAGCAACAACAATGACGGCTACATTTGCAGTATGTATACGCGTATTTTGAAGAAGTCGTATAGTTCACTTACATTGCAATTTACGATGTGAGCAGCGCTTGTAAAATTCCAATCGCGCTTTAGAGTTATTATAAGCCAAGCGCGAAGCTTGCATCTTGATGGCGCCTGGTTTGCAGAACGAAGACATTGCATTTAGACGTAGGTAAAGACAAACCATAAAAATGAGTACCAAGTGAGGCAGAGGGTAATCGGAATGCACATGACTAGAACTGTGATCGATAACTCCTATCATTTGTTTCTGTAAGCTATTTTCAAGGCGGTGCCGTCAACGATAGCAAAAGAGATCAATAAAGACGTGCAACAAACCCACCCAGCTATACTTCGTAGCAAAATCACAGATTTTGTCTCAGCGTCATGCGAAGTACACATAACTTTAGAGTCAGCTCCTGCAATCAGTTCTACGCCTTGGTAGCAGCGCAATGGGTTTCAAGCACCTTGCACAGATTGAGCTTAAACTCATTGAGTCCACGTTAAAAGACACAGACGAGTATTTCCTTTTGCGAGTACGTGCAGCTTTTTCAAGTCTTCTCGCCGCCGAACGAGGCATATCGCGTGCGATCGCGTTTCCTTGCTACACAACAGGGCAAGAAAGAATTGGTAGACTTTTTCCAAGTGTTGTGCACTCTTATTGCCGGTATGACAGTTGATCCTATTGTTGAGGCGATCACGAAGACCGTCTTTATGGAAAGCCTCCACACTGACGTGGCCAGAATGGAAATCTAGGGTTTAGGGTTTAAAGTGTACCCGTCTTCTTCTAGAAAAGCAGTCAATGCGGCATTGAATGCCGAATTCAACTTTGAGTCAGCACTTCTTAATTGGAATGTACATCCTAGTAGTAGCTCTTCGAGTGGGCCTGAACCGATGAATCTCAGCCATGCTGAGATAAAGGAGGCCGAGCTCCGAGCTGCCAGGTAGCGTTCGAACACCCGACTGTGTTTTGTCTGTGAAGACACCGTCACCTTCGGATTGTTTCTCCCCATGCGCAAGGCGCGTCAAGGTTCGTCGAGCCGACGTCCAGCTTCTTATCAGTCATCTGGTTAGTCGCAGGAAAATAACAACACCTAGTAGGTGCGGGGCGCCGTACTGGGGGATAATTGAGGTCTGCTGAGCATCAAGGAGGTAGAGGTCAGCTGGGCCCAGCTCCGGAGTGCTCTGTGCTCTTGAACAAGAAACGTGTATGCAAGCCGGGCTTGCAGGTCGCAAACGCGACTGTGAAGAGCTTGAGAAGCCATCGAAGAGCCTGATCGACTCCGGGGCGTCGGGCAATTATGTTTGCCGCTCCACGATCGAACGAAGTCAGCTGTATACCGAGGAGCTGAAGGGTGCGGTTGGGTGACATCGGCACTGTTCGCTTGGCGACGGGGGCATTAGTCACGTCCCTGTGGACCTCGGTGTCAAGTTTCGTGACTTTGTGGAACGCTGTTTAGTCTTAGACTTGGATTCAAGGTATGACCTTATCCTTGGTATGGCATGGCTGGAACACTTTGAGCCATGAATCGACTGGAGATTGAAGACCTTAGGCGCCACGTGCGCGTCTCCTGGTGGAGCTTTGGTGAGTCATGAACACGCCTTTGCAAGGAGGTAAAAAAGCTATTGGCGCGGGCAATGGACCGAGACGGTCAACATGCTTGAGATCGAAGTATCCGAGTTGATGAACACCAAGCTGTATACGACAGGAGTCCCGAGCATGGGTTGTGGGCTGAACGGGGGGGGCACGTAACCCATTGAGCGCTGCACAAGTATTGCAGTAGTCGCTGCATGTCATGCGTGGCATGGTCTTGAGGGTCGAGGCATCGAGGGCGAAGCCACGTGGAGTGGTACGTAATTCACTGAGCACTGCTCAAGTATCACAGCAGTTGACGTATTCCAAGAGTGGCATGGTCGGACGAGGTCCGAGGCATTGAGGGCGAGGCCCCAGTGATGTACGTGGAGTGGCACGTAATCCAATGAGCACTGCTTACATTTCTTTGCAGTTGCTATATGCCAAGCGTGGCATAGTCGGAAAAGTGCGGGGCATCTTGGACAAGGCCCTTCAGATGCGCGTGGAGTGGCCCGTTGTCCACTGGACGAAGACTGCGGAAATAGCAGTTCTTCTTCGGATATTCTTCATAGCATCAAATTTTTCGAAGCAGCTCGAAGTGGGGACACTGGACGACGCTGAGTGCGTGTTCCCGCTGGTCACGACGAGACGTAAGACCTCTATCGAGATGAGTCGGTGATGCCAAATGTTATTTGCAAGACACAGAGCGATGACCCTGACCCATGGTGTGTCTATCGTAGACGATAGCGCACAGCTACATTTCCTTGTCAGCGGTGTGCCGGGAGATAATAACGGAGACATCACACTCGAGGCTATTCCTGCGGTGGATGCTCTTCTTGAGCTTGACAAGATGTCCCACGAAGCGTTTGGCGGTGCCTTGAAGACAGGCGATTTAGCCAAAGTGATCATTATACGACCGAGAGAAGATATACGAAGCTGTCCTGGAGAACACCAAGAGGGTGCTGAGCTCACGAAGCTGATCTTCAGTCGTAAAGAGTTACTCGGATCCGTATCATCCTTTGATGAAGAATTTTCAAGACGTCTTCTCCAAAGACCCGCCGTCGGTCCTACCTCCGGACCGAGGTGTGCGTCATGAGTTGGACCTGGTTCCGGAGACCAAATACTGCGCAACACACCAATCACCCCTGCTTAAGAAGTAGTGCGACGTAATTTGTAAATCCAACCATGTTGTTCTGGAGAATATCCTTCCTAGGAATCGGCATCTGTGCTGGAATGGTGGCAGCGCTGTGCTTATTGTAAGCGTGAGCAATACGCCACTTTCCGTTCGGGTTCCAGACATAAAACGTGGGCGTTGAATGGAGAGACTTCCTCTCACGCATTATTTCTGCATCGTGCAACAATACAGTGCACATGACTTGGTAGATGGGTGTCACCAATTGCTCATGAGAGCGAGTTATACTCCGCTGACAGCGGTGAGTACTTCGAGTGTAATGGGGATACACATACCCTTATAACAGAGGTGTGTGTCACACGAGATGGACATGGTGTGACCACAACCAAACAAGAATACGGTACGGGGCGGGATAGCCAGTAGTTATACATGTGTTTAGATTTTACTATACATATTTATGAAAATCTATGAATAAAAAACTAGGCGGCTTTGCCGCAGATAAAACAAATAAATACAGATTATATTCTAAACAGAAGAGTTTATTAGCCTTGGGGTAAGGCTATAATTACTCTTGTAGTAAGCTGATTGCGATCCGCTAAACTCGTACTTGTTCTGAGTACAGAAAGAGAGGTCGGTGATTTAACTTACGCTTCTTCAAAGCGCAAAGCTACGGCATCCCGCTGCACCGAGCGGTATGCTCTGATAGTGGCTGGTGATGCCCCAAGGGCGGTCAAATGCACCAGAAACATTTCATCATCATTTGACGCATTTGTTTAGGCAGATAAGCGCACCTTAGGCGCGGAAGAAATCCCCTTTTTAGTGTGCTTCATTGGGAAGCGTGGCCTTCCTGCGGATCCCGCTAAGGTTAAGGCCATTGTGGACTGGCCGGTTCCAAAGAACCAAAAAGACTTGCGCAAGTGACTGGTTTCGCCAAATACTTGCACAAGTATACCGCGAATAATGCGGAAATGGCACGGCCATTGCCGAATCTCCTTCAAAAGGATGAGGCATTGCTGGGACACCGAACATTGGGAGGCTTTTGACAGGGTCAAAGACAGCTTCCTTTATGCACCAATACTGGCGTTGGCAGACCCCGATCGTTTTTTTAGTGCCGTCTGTGATGCTTCGGACTTTGCCATCGGCTGATTACTGCTGGACATCCGAGTTGTCGAACAGCGAAGGTGTATCGGAGAAAGGTCCCGAGCATGGTTCGCGGGCTGAACGTGGAGACACACGTGTGGCCCGCCAAGTCCTTCGGCAGGCCAGACTCAAAGTCCATACTCATGGACTACGACACCCGGAGGGTACCGGCGAACTGGCCAGCGGGGCCGCCACATTTTGGAGAGGGTTTCACCCTTGACACGTCTCACACGTGCGAACATAGGTGCTCGTCCATTTGTACAGCTTGACAACGCATCAGCCAAATCATTTTGCTTTCCTGGTTTATACTTCACCTCGAAGTGAAATTCTGTAAAGAATGAGTGCCCATGCGCCCGCGCCCCATTGTCATCCTCTGTGAGAGGTGAGGCGAATGACGCATGATCTGTTTAGATCACAAACGGTTTTGAGCCAAGTAAGTACATCCTGAACTTTACAAGCGCATACTTCATCGCAATATTTCTTGTCGAGGAGTGGGTAGTTCCTCTACGCAGCCTCAAACCCTATCTTACCTCTCGGCGTCTGCTTGCAGCAGGTTGACTGTTTTGATTCAGTGCCTGTGCCAATAACGTTTTTGCCTCCTAGCAGAGGTAGGTTCATGACGCACCCCAGGAGACGTGTGCGTAGCGCCAAAGGTCTTCGACCTCCAATCAATCCATGGCTCATGGTATTCCAACGATGTCATACCAAGGTTAAAAGCATACCTTGAATCCGAGTATAAGCAGCGTTCCACGCTATCGAATTTCAGAAACTTGACACCGAGGTCCACAGGGAGCCTCGGCATAGTGCACAAGTTCCCGTCGCTAAACGAACAGTGACGTTGTCACTCAGCCACACTTTCAGCGTCTAAGCATACAGCTGCCTTTCTTCATTCGTGGAGTTTCGAGCATAATTGCCCGACGCCCCGGAATCGATAAGGATATCCCAAAAGCCCTTAAAGAGCACAGAGCTCTTCGAGGCAAGACTCTGCTGCCCTCTACCTCTTTGAGGCTAGAAAAACTCAGTTCTTCCCCAGAAGGGCGCCCCGCGACAACCAGATTGGTGAG